TAAAGGAAGGGTTGAAACAAAGGAAACCGACAAATTTTGCAGATCATTAAAAAATGGTGTAACATATTTCGAATTCATCTAATTTATCAGCCAAATCACTATTTATATCTATAACTTCTCTTTCATTTTCATCAATTTTCTCCTCTTTTTCATCTTGTCCAAACAAATCGTCTTTTGATCCATTCATTGCGTTACTAATACCACATTTTTTAAATGACTTTACAATCATTTTCTTTGAAATTTCTGCCTATGTCTCAAGTATTCATTTGCAAATAATATTATATTCAGGCTTTCTTAAATTCCCATCTTTAGTATAAGAAAATTAACCTGAACTCATCCAAATGTTCTACTTTTCACGAATTCTATCTTTAAATGGCTTATTAAAACAAACATCAAGCGGCTGAACAATAGAAGTGAGACCACCAGGAATGATTGCCAAATTAGTATTTTCATTGAATGCAATTTTTTTATAGCATCCGTCTTATAATCTTCAAAACTATCCATAACAAGAAGGGATCTTTGTTTATTAATTTTATTTCCTCCTGGCCTTTTTCTATAAACCTTATTAAACCAGGTTTTCATTCTAGATTCATCCATCCATCCTTTTGGATGCATCAATATAATAATTCTAGAAGGTAAATTCTTTGGCATTTGCTTACCTTTAAAAATGACAATTAGTGATAATTTTATACCATTTGCAAGAACCGTAAGAATATATGTAAACTGATTTTTTTTATTTTCAGTTATTTGAATTTGCACAGTTTTAGCACCATGATTTTCTATAGTTAAGTTTCTAACCATATCAAAATAAACAGGAGTTTTATTCATGTTTCTAATTTCACAAAGTTCATATTCAAATTATTTTCATTTTTAATAATAAACTGCTAAAACTCCAAAAGTTTGTTATTAAGGTAAGCAGGAAGTTTTTGGTCGATTTTTTTTTTACATCGCAGAGAAAATCCATTCCTTTTAAGAAAATCATAAAACCAACATTCTGAAGCAAAAAAATTTTCACTATTTGAATAAACATGAGCAAACTCTTTTATTAAAATTTCTTTCACATAAATTTTAACTATTTTAGAAGTCACTGCAATACCATCTTTTCAAAATTCTATAAGCCATGTTTTTAAACTAATTTCAGCTTCAGGATATTGTGCTTTTTTTCCTGCACTAATACGTCGATTTTTTCCTTTTGCTGACTTGAATTTATCTCCCTGTTTTTTTCAATGTGAAATCATTGAATGATCAATAGAAAAATGACGTGCAGCTGCTCTTTGACTATGATTTTTTGCATATTGCAAAATCTCAAGCTTTTCACTAGCAGAATATGATGACCTTTGAATTTTTGGCATTGTGTGTGAAAAAAATGTATGTAAAATAGTGGTAAAATTGAATTTATATAAATTTATGTAATACAAAATTTTTTCGAAGCACAAAAAAAAATTAAAAAACTTTCAAATTTAAGCACCATCCCAAACTTTAGTGAAAGTTTTCCTTCAAAAAAGTGGTGCTTAAAATCAGAAGGATACGGTAATAGTAATAATAATTATAGTAATAATAATAACAATAGTCATAATAATAATAATAATAATAATATTTTTTTTTTAATTTTAATATAATATTATAATTATTTTATTGATAATTTAAAAGTATTTTTTAATTTTAACTATTATAATGCATTTTGATTATCATAATTAATTTTGATTATCATAATTAATTTTGATTATCATAATTGATTTTGATTATCATAATTGATTTTGATTATCATAATTGATTTTGATTATTATAATTGATTTTGACCATTATAATTAATTTTAATCATCATAATTGATTTTGACCATAATAATTAATTTTGATTATTATAATTGATTATAATCATTGTAATTGATTTTAACTATTATAATTAATTCTAACTATCATAATTGATTTTAACTATAATAATTAATTTTTATTATTAGAGGATTAGTTACTCATAAAAGAAGTAAATTATTGCTCAATATAATTTATTTAGTCAAATAAGAAGTCAAGAAAGGATTAAAAGCTCTTAATAATCACTTATTCAACCTACATAAAGATAGGAATAACCTATTAGAAATCAGAAGAGACTTATTTAATCAACTTAGAGATTTCTACTAGTACATGAATTGTGACCTATACAGTAAAATAAGAAAACAACACTCAGACAATCACTTCAAATATTTAAGACAGACACATCTTATAAAATCCTTTGATAAATCTTGTAGAATTTGTCATCTACTATCTGGAAACCCAAGTATTCAATTTCAAAGATTCTATCAGTGGATTTACCAATAATATCGTGCATATACATATTTATCTCTAAGTGAACAATATTTTAAAGAAATAGGACAGTATTTTAACGTTAATAATCCTCATAGTCTTGACACTGAACAAGCAGAAAAAGCAGCAATTTCTTTAGTATTCAGCCTTAGATTCACATGTTACTTTGAATTAGAAATAATATATCAACATATTCTTATCATCTCACATAACACTAACCACTTTACTTACAAAGAAACCCTTCACCAAATCTTACAAAATGGCTGTGACAGCAGATCAGCTCAATGTATTGATAATGCAAATTATAACCAGTATGACTAATGGATTTAATGGTATTAATATCCTAGCACCACCTGCAGCAGGAAGTTCTATTATAAAGTTGACCCTTTCTATGGAAAAGATAGTGAAGACACTCAAGAATGAATTGAAATGTTCTTAAAAGCGAAAGAAGCTAATAGATGGCCAGACAATAGAAGAGTAGCAATTGCAACAGAAATGTTAAGGAAAGAAGCAGCTGACTGGTATAATCTAGTAAGCAATACAATTAACAGATAGGATGGAGATGCAAATACAGGATTTAAAGAAAGATTCTTAGCACGTTTCTTATTACAAGAAAAATTACACAGATAGCAATACGAATTAATAAACCTGAAATAAGAAAATGAAAAGGTTGAAACCTATATATTTAAATTTAAGAAGTTAGCAAATAGAGTAGATGCAAGAGGAATTCTAAACGCCTTTAAAGTACGAATGTTCTTAAGTGGATTAAATAAGAAATTAGCAATTTTAGTTGCAATTCAAATTCCAGCTGACTTAGATGTCACTATTACTCAAGCTAAACTGTTGAAGCAGGAATATATTATATAATAGAATACGATTTTAGCAAGCTAAAAGTTGAAGATAGACATTGAAAAATTGTCTAAACAATTTGAACAAATGGCTTTGAATCAAGTAAATATTATGGCCGCATTAATCACTAATCCAGCTGAAAGAAAGAGTTACAATCCTGAAAGCAAATTAAGAAAAGAGTTAATCTGTTTCAGATGTGGAGAAAAAGGTCATATAGCCAGACGATGTCTTTCAGAAAAAGATTTATCTCAAGATAACTGGAGAATCAGAAATGATGACCAAAATAGAAAGGAAATAAATATGTTTGAAATAAGAAGTCTTCTCAGCGATTAAGAGAAAAAGATCTGAATCTCAAAGAGAAACTAATACTAGACAAACTCGATCTCAAACAACTAATGAACTAATAGAGATAACTGAACAGATACCTCAAATAATGGTAGATAATACTATTAAGTCTAGGAAAAGAATACCTAAAGGACCATCACTTTTGGATAATATTGAACCTTACAACATTTGAAACGACCTTGTAAATATTAAAGCTAATATTAATATAGGACAAATAATATAATTTAGATTGCAGCAACAAAAACTCCTTTAAGGAATGAGAAGATCTAAATTAGAAGGAAATGCAGCATTTACCAGTACTTCAGAAGAAGAAGAATGAACTATGATATTGAGATGTCATGTTAAAATTAAGAAAAACCCTGTAACTGTTATTATTGATACAGGAGCTGCAATAAGCATCATAACGCATAAATTGATGAAGAAACTTGACTAGATATTGATAAACCTTCACAAATAATCATTGTTACTGCGAATGGACAGAGAGAAAGAGCATTAGAAACAATTAAAAATGTGTCATTAATCATTTAAGAAATTCTCATTAAAATAATATTTCAAGTTATTGATTTGACTGATCAAACCTTATTATTAGGAATCGATTAGTGCAAGAAAAACAAAGATAATGTTAATTTTAAGAATAATGAAATGATTCTTACCTCTGGATTGGATAAAGCTATAGTCTCAGTACAATATGTAGTTAGAAAAAGAATTCAAACTATAACTATTAAGAATGAATTCAATGAAATGATTGAACAAGAATTAGAATATAATAACGAAGAAAAAACAGATAGCTACATCATTGAGATTAAAGAACAAGAAGAAGATATCAACCTTTAGAACCAAGCTTGAAAAAAAAACTCAATTTAATCTTGGGTTGACGAAGTAGAAACATATAAAGAAGAAATTAACCACCCCAAATATGTACTTAATATTTTGTATGATAAAGATGATATATTTCTCTCAATTAGAAAAGGAGAAGTTATATATGAAATGTGGCAATTCTAGAGGAAAGGTAGAAGGAAATGAGAATCCAATAAAAGCAGTAGTATGAGAAACTGAAGAAGAAACTGAAGTAAAAGTCAAGGAAGAAGACTTAGAATATCTATTTAATGATCCAAAATTTAATTGTAATGTTTATGCTACAAAGATTCTTAAAAGAACTATATTGGAACAAACTGAAGAAGATAAAAATGGACCTTAGATCTGTCTTAGTTTTTTGAAATATGAAGAGATAGCTAAACAAGGAAAACTACTCCAACCCATATGATATTTATTAATGAAATATTAGATTAAATTGTATGGAATAACTTGCCTAATAATCTTGTAAAAATTATGCAAGCAGAAACTGTGAAAGAAAAAGTTGTGACTCTAAAGCAACAAAAAGAAATTGATGTTCTAATAGAAGAAAATAAAGACAGTTTCATTACTAACATCTTTGAAACTGGACAATCAACTAGAGTTGGAAGAATTAATATAGCTTGACATAAAATTGATACAAGAAATGCTGATCCAATTAGGAGAAATTATTATCAAACAACAAAGAAAGAACAATAATTATCGATAGAAAAATTAAGAAGATGCTATGTAAAGGAATTATTTAAGCATCTGATAGTCCATAAGCATCTTCTGCAATTCTTATAAAGAAAGCAAATGGAAAAAAAAGATTATGTATTGATTATAGAGAACTCAATAAACTCATGAGAGAAGATGCTTACACTTTGCCTAGAATTGACAAAATTTTGGAAAACTTAAATAGAGTAAAATGGTTCTCAATATTTAATCTAACTAGTGGATTCTGACAAATTGAAATGAATCCTAAGGATAGAGAGAAAACTGCATTCATGATTAAAAGTGAACACTATGAATTTAATATTATGCCTTTTGGTTTATGTAATGCCTCAGCAATCTTTCAGAAAATGATGAATAAAGTATTAAAAGAATACATTGACTGATTTGTGGCAGTCTTCATTGATGACATTATTATTTATTCAAATAGTTTTGAAGAACATTGTAAACATCTTCAAATGCTTTTTCACAAGCTGAGAAAAGCAAACCTTGCATTAAATAAAGAAAAATGTGAAATGTTCAAAAGAGAATTATGATCTTAGGACATAAAATTAATGAATATGGAATCTTACCAGATTCTCAGAAGATAGAGAAAGTTCAAGAATTTTCTGTGCCAAAGAATGTGAGACAAATTAAAGGATTTCTTGGATTGGCATCATATTACAGAAAATTTATCAAGGATTTCTCAAAAATTGCTAAACCTCTAAATAACTTAACAAAGAAAGGAGTTGAATATAACTGGATCAATAAATGTCAAAATGCATTCGAAATCTTGAAAGGAAAACTGACACAAGCTCTAATATTAGGATATTCAAATTTTGATAAAATCTTTTATCTTTTTACTGACACCTCAGGAATTGGACTAGAAGCTGTTCTAGCATAAAAGGACGACCAAGAAAAAGAAAAAGTAATTGCCTATGTAAGTAGAACTCTTAATATTCATAAACAAAACTATATTACTCAAGAATTAGAATATTTAGCAATCAATTGGGCAGTTGAATATTTTCATCATTACACTTTCTTAAAACCCTTATTTTAGTAATTGATAACGTAGCATTGAAATGGTTACAAACTTCAACTGACTAAAAGAGCTAGATAGTTATTAAATCTTTAGCAATACATATTTCAAGTTCAACACCATTCAGAAAAAATAATTTGAATGCGGATGCTTTATCCAAAATTGATCCTGATAATAATGAAGATTCTGACGAAATTGTGGAAACTTACATGATTTCTGTACAAACTGATGAAAACTTTGATGAATCAGAAGAAAAAGAAATCCAATAGTATATCTTTTCACCAGAAAATAGTGTAAAAGAAAATGATATTGAATCTTACTTTGAGCAAGAATTAATGAATCAATTTGAAAATTATTCATTGATTATTGTTGAATACCAATGTCCAAAAAATGAAATGATCGAAATTTACAAAGAAAATATTAAAGTCAAACAAGTAATTGCAAATCAACCAATTATCAAAAGAGGCTCTAAATACACTGACTTTTGTGATATTGAAAACCATCACATTCACATATCCTGTAAGGCATACAAATATAATTTACCTTATAGAATCATTTTTTATGATTGTATTACTGGATTTGAACGTGGCAAAATTTATTCTAATATGAACCCTAACTATTTAACTAATGACTTATGGTAGACTGAACCTTTACTTGTTCAACAAGAAAATGCTTATGCGTTGTTGGCTTGGTATCTGTAAACTTAAACGATAAACTTTTTAATTCAATCCGTTGAATTAAATACAAGACAATATCAC